GGCTGGAGTGACGTCATTTCTGCGGCTGCAAGGTAAGCTATGAGAGCAAATAGCAAAGAGATAATTAATTTGTTAAATATCAACGCATAGTATCTGTCTCATCTATGTAATCCTTGCTTTAGTTTGTAAAAATGTAAATTTCTATTTCTCTATATTCTTTTAGTCTTAATAAAACGTTCATAAAGTAAACACATGTTTTTGGTGATTCTAACAATTCTAACAGGTTATGGGCCCAGGCAAGCTCAGTTTGTATTATTAAAATTTTTTTTTTTTTAAAAGTAAATCAATTAATACGCGTGTGTCGCGATTTCATAATATATTACTTATATCTTTTTTGAAATTGATTTGAAACATAAACGAAAATAATGAGTGGGTCTGGTCTGTATGCAATTGAAAAATTGAATGAAAACAATTATTCATCATGGTCGATTCAAATGAGGAGTGTGTTGATACATAATGAACTCTGGCCAGTAGTAGCAGGAAAAATTGCTCCAGGATCAACACCTGAGTCCAAAGCGGCATTTGAAAATAAAGATGAAAAGGCGCTTGCAACAATTATTTTGTGTCTGCATTCATCGCAGCTGAATTTTGTGAAACACAGCAAAACTGCCACTGAAGCTTGGAATACACTAAGTGAGGTGTATCAGAGAAAAGGACCAGCTAGAAAGGTCACTTTGTTCAAAAAGCTCATGGCATTGAAACTGCACGAGGGTTCAAGTGTACCTGCGCATATAACTGAATTTGCGGAAATTGCAGAAATGCTTACACAGGTTGATACAGTAATACCAGAGGAGGTGTTATCAATTATTTTACTGACCAGTTTACCGGAATCATATGATAATTTTGTGGTTGCAATCGAAGCAAGAGAGATTTTTCCAAAACTTAATGACTTAAAAGTGAAGTTAATTGAAGAAGCTGATCGAAGGTTGCAGAAGGGTAATCAGATACAGCAAGCAGCATATTATGCCGATATGAAGTCACAAAATTCAAGCGAACAACCACAAAATAACGGCAACAAGAATAAAAAAGGCAAAAAGAACATCAAATGCTACATTTGTGCTAAACGCGGGCATTTTGCATCGGAGTGCAGAAATAGAAAAAACTGCGAAAAGGAGAGCGAAAAGTCAAAGAAAGGTGACCATAAACTATCACGAGTAGTAGCAGCAACAGCAGAGAGCAGTGCTCTAACTTATAAATCGTGGTGCATTGACAGTGGAGCGTCTACTCACATGTGTTGTGACCGCTCATATTTTACACACCTCTTATATAGTTCCGAAAAAGTTTGGCTTGCAGATAATAAAACAATTGAAGCGTGCGGTCGTGGTGAAATTCGAATTAAAGTTGGAGAATTGTTTTTAACTGCGAAAAATGTACTGTACGTACCAGCATTAAAAAACAACTTTATTTCTGTCAATCGGGTGACGGCGGATAAAAGTACTGTAAATTTTTCTAATTCGGGTGCTATAATTAGAAATGTTTTTGGACAATGCGTAATTAAGCCAATTACATACACAATAATGATGAAAGTGTAGTGAAATGGCATAATCGTTTTGGCCATATAAATGTCACAGCATTAAAAGAAATGGCAAATAAAAATATAGTGCGTGGACTACATTTAAAAATAGATAAGAACAATCGAAATGATCATACTTGCAAAACGTGTGCGAAAAGCAAAGTTTGTGTAAAACCATTTATGTCGTCGGAAAATCGGTCAAATGAACTTCTTACAATAATTCATAGCGATGTGTGCGGTCCTATGAATAAAAAGTCTTTCTCGGGTTATCAATATTTCGTAACGTTCATAGATGATAAATCCCGTTACGTACAAGTCTATTTATTAAGAAACAAATCCGATGTGTTCGAGATGTTTAAATTGTACAAAGCAAAGGTTGAACGTGAAACAGAAAAGAAAATCAAAATTTTACGTTCTGACAATGGTGGCGAGTATTGTAACCAGATATTTGATAGTTATTTAGCTGAACATGGCATCAAAAAACAAACAACAGTGCCATATACTCCTCAACAGAATGGAGTCGCAGAAAGAGCTAATAGGACCTTAGTGGAGATGGCCAGGAGTATGCTAGTGTTTTCAGGGTTGGATGAAGCATATTGGGCGGAAGCAATCTTAACATCAGTGTACATACGCAACAGATCTATCACAAAAGCTCTGACTGATAAAACACCTTTTGAAATTTGGAGTGGGCGAAAGCCGTCAGTATCACATTTTAGAATTTTTGGATGTCCAGCTGTTGTTCTTGACAAAACCGAGAAACACAAATTTCGTGCTAAGGGCAAAGAAATGATATTTGTTGGATATTCAGATCAATCTAAAGCATATCGCCTAGTTGACAATAATACAAAGAAAGTTGTTGTGAGTAGAGATATCATATTTTTAGAAAATATGATGGAATCACCTAGATCAGAGTACGTATCTTTTGAAATGGAGCCACAGCAGCAATGTGACAATGAAATAAAAGAAATTGCCGAATGCTTACAAGAAGGAGATGAAGAAATTAGTAGTGTAAAGAGTGACATCTCAGAAGATGTAGCAATTGCTAAAACCCAGAAAAGGGTAGCTGGAAGACCTCGTATAGAATACACAGGTAAACCAGGACGTCCGATAAAACGATATAATACTGTAGGTGCATTATCACAACAAAGTATGATAATACCAGACACAGTTCAACAAGCGTTAAGTGGAAAAAATTCTGAAGAGTGGAAAGCGTCAATGGAGGAGGAGTATAATTCATTGGTTAAAAATCAAACGTGGTCTTTAGTCCAACTTCCTAAAGGGCACAAAGCGATTGGATGTCGATGGGTGTTTAATGTAAAACGGGACAAAAACGGTGATATACAGCGTTTTAAATCGCGGTTAGTAGCAAAAGGTTGTAGTCAACAACTAGGTGTGAACTACACTGAAACTTTTTCACCAGTTATTAGGTACGCAACGATTCGTCTTATAATTGCATTGGCAGTCGAACATAATTTATATTTAGATCAAATGGATGTTTCAACAGCCTACTTAAATGGAGATCTTCAAGAATCAGTTTATATGCGACAGCCAGAGGCATTTATCAACAACGAACATCCAAATTATGTATTGAAATTACATAAAGCACTATATGGTCTAAAACAAAGCGGTCGAGAATGGAACAATAAGCTTGATAGTGTGCTCCGAAGTATTGGTTTTTTATCAGGAGAAGCTGATTCGTGTGTTTATACCAGACACGGTACCAATACGTATAATATTATTGCAGTATACGTTGATGATATTTTGTTTGCGAGTTCTTCAAGGAACGAGCTTGATGAGATTAAAGCGCAAATTGCAGATCATTTCGACGTAGTAGACGGGGGTACTTTAAAACATTTCCTCGGTATGGAGATTGACCGAAATGGTGCAACTGGTGATGTGACAGTCTGTCAGCGTCAGTATATTAAAAATTTATTACACCAATATGGCATGGAAAACTGCAGTAAGGTGTCAACGCCATTACCACCAAATTTTCAAGTAGGTTGCAAGAATGAAACATGTAGAAAGGTTGATACTACAGAGTATCAGTCTATGGTGGGTGCACTTATGTATTTGGGTTTGACAACAAGACCTGATATATTACATTCAGTAACAAAACTTTCTCAGCGAAATGTAAATCCACACAGTGAGCATTTAGCGGCATTAAAGCACATATTACGATATTTACAGTATACAGCGAGTTATAAGCTACACTACAAGAAGTCTCAAATACCTATCATGGGCTTTGTCGATGCAGATTGGGCCGGTGATGATACCGACCGAAAATATTTTACGGGTTATGCCTTCGTTGCAGCAAGTTGTGTTTTTTCATGGCAATCACAGAAACAAAGCGTAGTGGCGCTTAGCAGCACTGAGGCAGAGTACATAGGTTTATCAACAGCTGCAAAAGAAGCTGAATATTTACGCAAGTTACTACATCAGATAGGTTTTGCGATTAAACAACCGATAGTGATCAACTCTGACAATCAAAGTGCGCAACATTTGGTAAAAAACCCCACTTATCATGCGAGAAGCAAACATATTGATGTAAGGTACCACCATATTCGTGAGATGTACAAATCTAAGAAAATTGGTTTGAGCTATGTTTGTACCAACGATATGATAGCAGATATCCTTACCAAAAATTTACAAAAAATAAAGCATAAAAAATTTGTAGATGAAATGGGTATTCATTAAGAGAAATTTAATTGTATAGATATCTTGCGTTGAGGAGAAGTGTTAAATATCAACGCATAGTATCTGTCTCATCTATGTAATCCTTGCTTTAGTTTGTAAAAATGTAAATTTCTATTTCTCTATATTCTTTTAGTCTTAATAAAACGTTCATAAAGTAAACACATGTTTTTGGTGATTCTAACAATTCTAACATAATTTTTTTTGGTTAACAAGACTGAATGTTTTATAGTTGAATTTCTCTTTATTCTTTTTGTTGGTTCTGTGTTTATGATCAATATTACAATTTTTTTTTTTCTCTTTTCAATTCTTTTGTTGATGCTTTGTTTAGGGAGTTTTCTTTTACATATATACCAATTATTACCATAATAAGTATAGCAAAGAAAAAAAAAAAAAATATTATATAGGAATTATAGGAATTATATGTATACATGAAATACTTTGTAAATATCTATTTATATAAGAAATATTGTAAATATTCCTACATGAAATAACATAAATAGCTATATTTGAGTAAATATTTTGATAAAATTTTTTTACTAATTTGAAATAATATTATAAGCGTTATAAAACAACTTTCGTATTTATAGTATATAATAATAAAGAAAAAAAAAATTTACAAAAAAAAATATATATATATATTTTTTTTAATTTATTAATTATGAGCTCATGATGAGATATTGCTGAATCAATATAGAGGGGTGGTGTTAGTGCGGCGTTCCAAACATTTTTTTATTTTAAGGCAGGGATTCCTTGAGAAGAAATTGTATTCCTCTATTCTTCACGTGATTTTAAAATGAAGCGTTTTACTGACAGCACGCAAGCATTACCAGATGTATTGCCAGTGTTTCCCACATTGGAAGAAACCGTGACGATGCAGGCTGGTGATGTTGAAACCATCGATTGGGGGATGGAAGAGTCCATCATATCTAAAATGAAAGCAGTGGGGTTGCCCAGAGGTAGAACCAGTGATTTAGGTGTAAGCCTAGCGTATACTGAACTTCCTAAGGCAGCGGTAGTAGTAGTGAACATCAGGAACAAGGCTCTTCCCATCCTATTCGATGAAGATTTTTTTAAGTTTAAGAAACCCAAATAGATAACAGTGGTTTTAATTATAGATTTTTTTTAGGTGTCGAAATATTGAATTAATTTAGGTCAAGTAAAAATGAAGTAGGTAAATAATAGTTTTTTTGTTTTTTACGCATTGAAAAAAGTAGTGTAGTTAGTTTATTATATGAACATAATAATCATTATTTGAATATTATTATATGAATATGAATAAATGTAAAGATGGAATATTAATGAAGTATAGATAAATTTAGTTAAGTTAGGATATGAATTTAAAACATGGCATGAATTTTTTTTTGTTGTTGTCTACAGTGTAGCCTCAGTTGTCAAGAACCCCACCCCAAAACCGGCGAGCATACCGGGCTAGCCACCATGCCATGAGAGGCGACTGAGGGCACTAATTCTAACACAAGGAGGACACAACAACTATCACCACTATTGACACTATAGCAGCTTTGTCAGCAGTTTTTTCATTAGAAGGACTACCTGAAACTATAATTAGTGACAATGGACCTCAGCTAACTTCCGACCAGTTCGCTGAATACTGTGCTCGCAATGGCATAAGTCATGTTAACACAGCACCATTTCACCCAGCATCAAATGGGCTCGCGGAAAGGTTCGTACGTAAATTCAAATCATCCGTTCAAAAGAATATTGATGATGGGTTATCGATTAAATTGGCTTTGGTAAAGTATCTAGCGACATACCGAGCTATTCCTAATGCCGAAGGGAAGTCACCGGCAGAATTGTTACATGGGCGTGCACCACGTACTTTGCTTACACTGTTATCAGCACCACCAAACAACAATAAACCCGTCACTCGTTCAACTAAATTCTCGCCTAACGAAACCGTGTATATTAAACATTATGGTCGAGGTCCGAAGTGGGTGGAAGCAGTCATTATTAAAAACTTAGGATGCATGGTTTATATTGTGAAAACGTCCAACGGTTACGTGAGACGTCATCAAAATCAAATAAAACACCGTTCATCAACGTCAGCAGAAAACAACAGCAAATCTGATTGGTATATGTTGCCAACACCTGTTAGTGAGCAGGAGGATAACAACAACACTAATCACACTAACACTGAAGAGCGTTCTCAGATGACTGAACAGATACCACGTCGAAGCGCTCGTACTCGAGCTCAACCTAATCGTTATCAACCTATTTAAAACTTTTATATATCTTTATACCTTATACATAGAACATATATTTTGAATATATTACTTGAATATATATATTGAATATATTATTTGAATAATATATAATATACATACCTTTAAACCTTATACATAGAACATATATTTCAAATATATTACAATTTTAAGGGGCGAGATGTCATATTCAACAATATTAATAATTATTTTAAATATATAAAGTTGGAAACTCTAGCCTGTAAGTAGTTTAAGTAAATATTGTATAATATAAAAAAATAAAGTTAGTTGATTAAGATAACTCAAACAAAACAATTTCCATGACTATTACGACGGCTTAATTGGCAATGACCTACTTAGACCATTAAAGGCATGCATAAATTACCAGGACAACACGATCCAATTAGGAGGACAAACGTTACCAATCTTCTTTAAAACCAAAGAAGACTTTAACGATAAAACAGAAATAGCACTCATTACAGAATCACTCAAATTTAATCAAGGGAACCTTCAATTCAAATAAAAAAATATAAACCTTTAAGCGAACAACTTCGGACAGACCATCTCAATTCAGAGAAAAAATCATTATTACTATCAGTAATAATGAAACACTGAAACAGTAATAATGAAACATATTTTACCAAGAAAATTATAAACTTTCCTTTACGTCCGCTATAAAACATAAAATAAGAACAACTAATAATGTCCCAATCCACATCAAGTCATATCGGTATCCCTACATTCACAAGAGTGAGGTAGAAAAACAAATTAGTGAAATGTTCAAGAATAAGATAATTCGTCAGAGTAACTCACTATATTCGGCAACTATTTGGATAGTCCCAAAAAAGACGGACGCTAGTGGAATGGAGGCTTGTCATTGACTACCGAAAGCTCAATGAGGTAACCATCGATGACAAATACTCCATCCCTAATATAGACGAAATTCTTGACAAATTGGGAAGATGCAAATACTTTACAACCCTCGACCTGGCAAAGGGATTTCATCAGATTGAAATCGAGGAAGAAGATATTTATAAAACCGCGTTTAGCGTTGATAGAGGACACTATGAATTCTTGAGGATGCCATTTGGACTCATTTTTAACCGCTTACAGGAAGCAACCCTGAAAATCTAACTGGATAAGTCGGAATTTCTGAAAAGGGAAACAGAGTTTATTGGTCATATTGTGACATTGGAAGGGTTAAAACCTAATCCAAGGAAAATTGAATGTGTAGTAAATTTTCCCATACCAAAATCAACAAAACAAATGAAGCAATTTCTCGGTCTAACTGGATACTACAGAATGTTCATTAAAGACTATTCTTTAATCGCCAAACCAATGACCAGATACTTGAAGAAGGACACTAAAATAAATACCTCTGACCCACACTATGTGCAAAGTTTCAACACTCTTAAAACATTGTTGACACATGACCCAATACTAGCATATCCTGAATTTTCAAAAAAATTTACTGTAACAACAGATGCTAGTAACTACGCATTAGGCGCAGTCCTCTCACAAGACAACCACCCGATTTGCTACGCTAGTCGCACACTCAATGAACATGAATTCAACTACAGTACAATAGAGAAGGAACTCTTAGCCATAGTATGGGCGACAAAGTTTTTCAGACCCTACCTCTTCGGACGCAAACCTCTTTTCTACCATACCTCTTCCGACATGGCTCATTTCAATTAAAGAACCCAATTCAAAACTAGTCAGGTGGAGATTAAAACTGTCGGAATTCGACTACGAGATCAAGTACAAAAAGGGAACACAAAATAGCAACGCCGACGCTCTATCAAGCATAGAGTCACTACCCGCTAATATTTATTCATTAGAATCCTGCGAATCAACTATAAAAGAAACAGAATATATATATTCATATATGATACATTCAGGAATGAAATAATTATAAAAAAATCACATCTGGAACAGCTAGGATAAAAAATGAAAGAAAAACTATAAGTCTTAAAGAATTTGATCGAGAAACCGCAATATCTTTGCTAAAAAGTCACTTTAATCCAAATCAATTAAACGCAATTTTAATAGAGAATGAATTCTATGACACCCTCAAAAATACTTATGAAGACCTGCTCTCAAATAATGATAAATTTAAGATCACAATATGTACAAGAATACTAATAGACGTAGAAGAAGAAAATAAATTAACTATTATAATCGAAAAAGAGCACTTATGTAAGAATCATAGAGGCATTCAAGCGGTATACGAGGAATTAAAAAACCAAGTTTACAACCCTCAACTAAAGTTAAGGATTACACAATTTATTAACAATTGTGAAATTTGCACTTCAGAAAAATACGACCGAAAACCACCCAAAATACCTTTCAATATAAGCGAGACCCTCTCTAAACCCCACGAGATTGTACACATTGACGTATTTTACACTCTAAGAAAGAACTCTTTATGACGTTAATCGACAAATTCACGAAATTCGCAGTAACCTACAAAATTAACGGTAGAAGTTGGACGGAATTCAAGACAAAACTACTTCACTATATTAACACATACGAGAAAATTTTGAAAATAGTCGTAGACAACGAATTAGGATTCATTACACTTCGAATAGCAACCACACTTCCGATGCAGACATCGAAAGACTTCATAATACTATTAATGAGCATATACGACTTCTAAGACATGACGACAAAAATAAAAACGAAACAATAGAAGAAAAAATGTTGAGGATAGTAGGCTTTTATAACAACACAATTCACAGTACAACTAAAATATAAGCAATTGACTTTTTAAATGGAAAAATTTACGAAGATAGATACAAAGCGATACATGACCTAATCTCTAGAAATAAAGAAAATCACATAAATAAATTAAATAGGGACAGAGTTGACGTAAAAATAGAGGAAGGGATAAATTATATTAAAGAAATTAGAGGACGTAAAAACCATAGAAAATATAGGAAGATTGTTATGTAGGCCTGAGTAACAAAAAAAAAAATTAGCTTAACTGGAATTAAATATATAGGCATGACATTACCTCGGTTTACCCGCGACGTCCATAAGCACATGCAAAATAAAAAAATGTGTAAAAGCTTTTATAAATTTTTTTTGTTTTGGTTTGTTTTGATCAAAGTGACTGCGAAAGCTTTCGGAGTTGCAGTGATCAATGCTGACAGAGCAATGCACAATGTAAGTAAAATAAGTTATGAGGAAAAAAGTGGGTAATGCAGGTGGTATTTGCGGAATGTACAAAGGAAGGAATGAAAAAAAAAACAGTATTAACATGGGGGTCAAAAAACGGCTTCGAAAATTGTGCGGGCTTTGGGAATCAACGGGATGATGACGAAAACAAATAGGATATCAAAATGGTAGTGCACGGTTCAGGAGCTCTCTTATCTTCTCTTATCTCTTATCTTAATAAAAATCAATTTGTGAAAACTTTGTCTTTTTATTTTTTTAATTAAAAATAACTAAAAGTATTAAAAATCAATTTGTGAAAAACTATATTTTTTTATTTAAATTAAAATTAACTGAGAATATTAAAGATCAATTTGTGAAAACTTATTGTTTTTATTTAAATTAAAAATAGCTGAAAATATTAAAAATCAATTTGTGAAAACCAAGTTTTTTATTTAAATTAAAAATAACTAAAAGTATTAGCAATCAATTTGTAAAAAGATATGTGTTAACTGAAATAATAAGTTTATAAAGATCATTAAAACTTAAATTGCTAAAGGAATTAAAGTGCAAGCTAACATATTTCAGAAGTTAAATATGGCTTAAAGTAATAACTTTTCTGGAAAGTTTTGATTTAAATTAAAATTGAAGCCAGAATAATAACCTAAACAATTACCTCGTAAAAAAAACAAAAAAAAAGGAAGGAAAAAAAAAGAATTTTTTTTTTGAACTAAAACATCAAAGGATTTTGTAAAAGCAGATTATACAGATATCAAAATTGATTGACAACATACAAGATAAACAGCGGTAGCTGCAAGAAGGTGAACATTGCGGTGGCGGTTGCGGTGTTTTCAACATACACGTCAATAACGGTAAATACTACTTTTAGCATAACTGTGACGGCAATTGTGAAGTTGGGGACCCCATAAAGATTTTTTTATACGCATAAGTTAATGATATTTAGTAACACGTTTATTTAAAAATGATTTTATTGTTACAAAAAGTTTGAGATAGTAAATTAGTTAATTTCCTTGTTACAAAAGTTTGCATTGTTAAATCAATTAATTATATAGAAATATTTAAAAAAAATAAGAAAAAAAAAGAAGAAAAAAAAGAAGAAAAAAAAAGAAGAAAAAAAAATTAATTAAATTATTGTAAATTATATTGCTACTTAATAATAGATAGCTATATTAATAATAATATATATATATATTGAATAATATTATGAATAACATTATTTGAAAACTAATATTGCTCAAGGTTTAGAGAAACTAAGAAGAAAAAAAAAAAAGAAAGAACCTTTTCCTGGTATTATTATATGCTATTAAGTTTTTTTTGTTTGTCGGTAGTATTTCTTTTGTTTTTTTTTTGAAATTTTTGTCTAGGTGCAGCGACCGCACGAGTGACCTCATTTGGGCAGTTGTGGTAAGTGCCTAACTAGGCAAGCAAAATCTTTTTACTTCGTACATATACTTTTTTTCCTTTGTTCTTCTTCTTTCTTTTTTTTATTTCGATTTTTGTATTTTATTTATAAAAATGTATCACTTATAAATAGATAAACACTTATTTGTATAGTTTAATTTAGGTATAGATATATGTATATATATATTTTTTTTTAAATTAAAATTTTTTTTTCTTATTTAATTTTTCATTAATAACATACTTAAATTTATAAAGTTGTTATTGTTTATACATAAACTGCTATATTATGAAATAAGAATTATAATTTTTTTGTATATAATTAAAGCTTGGTTGGATTTTGAATAGAAAATAAAAAAAAAAAACAAAATAAAAAAATCAACAAATTCTATTCCTTTTACCTTAGTTGAAATAAGATAAGATGCACGTACAAAAAAATATTG